TCCAAAATAGCATGCTAAATGGAAGCTTGGCAGCTGAAGGAATCCTCTCAGAATGACCTAAATTCAGAAACTTAGGTCTTAAAGGGGGCCTAGTTCAAATCTTCCCTTGGACATTTGAACTAGGACATTAAGTTGCAGAAGTAAAAGGATTTATCCAAGGTTACACAAAGGCCTCACATCCTCTCTCCATAAATCTTGCCCACAACTGGACATCTATGGTTTCAGAGGCAGGTAAGGATCTTAACCATTTGGAAGAACAAACAGGAATTGTTCTGATTTCTTTTTTTTTTTTTTTTTAGAGACAGAGTCTCACTTTATTGCCCTTGGTAGAGAGCTGTGGAGTCACAGCTCACAGCAACCTCCAGCTCCTGGGCTTAGGCAATTCTCCTGCCTCAGCCTCCCAAGTAGCTGGGACTACAGGTGCCCACCACAACGGCAGGCTATTTTTTGTTGCAGTTTGGTTGGGGCCGGCACCCTATCCACTGAGCCATAGGCGCTGCCCTGTTCTGATTTCTTTTACCTTCTTTCTTCCTTTTTTTTAAAGACTAGTCAAGTGATTAGGGTCATTTGTGCTTCCTCCCTGCTTCTGTGCCTAAGAAAAGGGGGGAAGACTAGAACTAGGAGTTCAATCAATAATTGATTTGTGAACGTTCAAGTGAGATAACACACTACCTTCAGACCAGCTCGGGACCCAATTTCTAAACCAGACAGCCAACCTTAGTGAGACCCTAACATGTTTTCTTCCCCCGCACTTTGCTTCTCTTTCATCTGTAAGAGTGTTGCAGGAAGATACCCTATCCTGGCATTTACCTAAAAAGTAGTAACCCACTCTATAGGCAACGGGGCTCTAAGGACATAACAAGCTTTGTTAGGCAGTAAACTCCACCACTTTAATAAATGTGCTTTTTCAATGCTTCCTCCTCCACACCTTGCAAGAATGTGCCAAAAGGGGCCACAGCACAGTGATGGCTCAGACTGGTTCGAGGATCTGGGGGTAGGAATCATTTGCCTTATTCAGAGAAAGCTATTTTTGACATATTCTGGAGACATAATCCAAAAATACATAAAGCTGAGGACTTCCAGAGGGCATAGTGGAAAGGCTTTGTTGTTATACCATAGCCGAAGCTTGAGTTTGGTGACTTCTGCAAATGGATCTGAAGTTTTTTTCTGACAGCGAATGTTTATTTGATTCATTCAGCAATAAATGAATTAGGACCTCAAAGTACTAAGGTGCTGGGAAGACTGAGAGAGGGGAGTAAGACAAGGTCCTCACTTCAGAGTTAGCCTGGTGGGAGGGAACGGCGTTGGTATGTTGGGATAAAGAGGCAAAAGGGTAGCGATTGTTTCAAAAGCCACTGGTATTAACTATGGCTGGCATTTTTTGAGTGTTTTCAAAATGCCAGTTCTGTCCTAAATACCTGTCCTTGTCCATCTAATCTTCACAACAGCCCTATGAGGTTAGCACCATTATCCTCATTTTATGGTTGAGGAAGCTAAAGCAGAGAATTAAGAAACTTGTTTAAGCTCACAGTGCTGGTGAGTGGTGGAGCTTCCAGAATCCTTTTCCTTCAGTGTCACCATTGCTGGTGCTGTTTCCCCTACATTTTCTGTGGTATCTACTGACCACACCACCTTACCCACCCTGGCGCCCACACAGGGGATTTCAGTGCCAGACACTGGTGTGATGTCTATAGCATACTAAAGTGGGAACAGAAGAGCACTGTTTGGTAAAGCTCGGTCTCAGCAGCCAAAGCCAGGAGCTATGAAAGCTTATTCTGTGCTTTGTCTTCACTCTTCTAAGGCCACAGGATGAGGCAGACAGCACTGGTCTAGAAGGCAGAGGACTGGGCTATGGGTTATGGCCCCACTTGCACTATGCTCTTAAGAAAATTCTCCTCCCCAGTTTCATGTTGGATGATTGTGACTCTAGGACCTCACTACTCAAAAGTGTGGTGTCTGGACCAGCAGTTACCCTTTCCTGAGAGCTGGTTAGAATACAAAATCTCTGGCTGAAGGCAGAACTAGAAGCTGCTTTCTAATAGGCTCCCTCTGTGATTCCTGTGTGAATTTAGGTGAGAAGCCTTGGGAGACACACACTGTCCAAACTTCTCACCCATCCCAGGGGCACTTGTTTGAAGCCCTGTTCATTGACGGTAAATCCCAACTTTAAGCCTTCTCTAATTAGTTTAGAATCTCCTCTTCCCACCTGACAAGGGACAGGGAACAGTATCTCTCCTGTCCTGGGATTAGCTCCCGGCAGTCCCATATCTCTAGATTAATCTCTACCCAATTTTTAAATACATCCTTGTCTTCTGATATGCCACTCTCACCTTGTTCTATTTGAGATATGACTGGAATGAGCTATCTGTGCACTAGCACACCCCATTTTAATGAAATTTATTCTAATGATACTTATCCTGACAGAATGTGGACACTCACAGGACCAAAGAATCAAGCAGGAGTTTTTTTGAGACAGAGTCTCACTATGTCATCCTCAGTAGGTTGCCGTGGCGTCACAATTCACAGCAACCTCAGACTCTTGGGCTCAAGGGATTCTCTTGCCTCAGCCTCTCAAGTACCTGGGACTACAGGTGCCCACCACAACACCCGGCTATTTTTGTCGCTGTAGTTGTCATTGTTGTTTGGCAAGCCCGGGTGGGTTTGAACCTGCCAGCTCCAGTGTATGTGAGTTGGTGCCCTAACCGCTGAGCTATAGGTGCCAAGCAGGATTTCTTTTAAACAAGCTCCCCTTGACTGGGTGCCGTGGCTCACATCTGTAATCCCAGTACTCTGGGGCTAGCGGGTTGCCTGAGCTCACAAGTTCAAGAGCAGCCTAAGCTACAGCAAGACTCCCATCTCTAAAAAAAAAAAAGCCAGGGGTTGTCATGGGCACCTGTAGTCCTAGCTACTGGGGAGGCTGAGGAAAGAGAATCACTTGAGCCTAAGAGCTGGAGGTTGCTGTGAGCTATGACACCACAGCACTCTACCAAGGGCAACAAAGTGAGACTGTCTCAAAAAATAAATAAATAAACAAGCTTCCCTTATATGCAGACGGGAATCTACAACCCTGGCTAACTGGCAGAATCACTAAAAACTGTGAAACAATTAAAAGTTTCTCTTTGAGGTCGTATCTTTTATGAAAATTGGCATAACCCCACACGTACGACTGCCTTGGCACGTACTTGGTGTACCTTTCCAGGAACAAGGACTATGCCTGTGGTGCTCTGTTCCCAAGGGCATACAGAACCTTCTTTACATCAAAGTAGTGATGATATGTTTCTACTACGCCGTGCCCTAGATAGAAGTGGGGATTTTCAGGATTATAACCCTAAAAGGTTAATGGATGGCTATTCCTTGCTCTCAGGGGAGGATCCAATCATGTCCACGCAGTGCAGGCTATTCCCAGAGTGTGGAACATCACTTTTCACATTACTACAAAACCATCTCTGGGAAGTTATAAAGTCATTGATACAAGATTTTTTGTTGTTGTTGAGGCAGAGTATCACTGTGTTGCCCAGGCTGGAGTGCATTGGCATTGGCTTAGTTCACAGCAACCTCAAACTCCTGGATTCAAGAGATTCTCCTGCCTCAGCCTCCCAAGTAGCTGGGATTACAGGCACCTGCCACAACGCCTGGCTAATTTTTTCTAGTTTTAATAGAGATGGGGTCTCACTTTTGCTCAGGCTAGTCTACAACTCCTGAGTGCAAAAGATCTTCCTGCCTCAGCCTCTCAGAGAGCTAGGATTACAGATGTGAGCCACTGTACCTGGCCCTGATACAGTTATTGTTGGGTTTTGCTTTTTTGTTGTTGAGACAAAACAGCAGAGAAAGAGGGTGAAGGTAGTGAAGGGAAGGCTTGAGAAATAGAATCTTGTCTGGCCATTCCATAAAGTAAACCACCATTCCCAAAATGTATAGAGTGTTAAGAAATATTGAAGTTATAATTCCCTCTTCAAGGAGCTACCAGCTTAGGGAAGCAAATACCACAACTCATACTACTGTTGGTCCAATAACAATGTGCAGTTGGGTCTCTGCAAATTCAAGGCATGTTCAGGTCTCAAAGAACATCTACCTGGTTCACCTACAGGTGATCCCGCCTCATTCAGAAATACTAGTCAACATCACTTCCTTCTCTGGTTCTCCTTTTTTAAGTCAGAACTGCTCTGAAATGGGGAAAAGTCCACAAACCTAAAATGATGTGAAACTTTAAAGATATGATCTCTGCAATACTACTTGAGATGGTTAAGATTAAAATAATTGTTAGAACCTCATACAATATTTAAAATCAGACCACACCAGTGGTTTCAACCATCAATGGCATTTTTATTTTTGAAGTGTCTATGTATTACATAGATATTAACTTCCTTTTATCCCTACTTCTCTCCCCCAGATAAAAAAAATTAAAGAAGAAGAAATGTATAAAAAATTCTTATCTGATTTCTCTAAAGTCTAAGGCCAAGAAAATTTACATGGTGCCTCTTTGAGGGTTTTGCTTTGTATGGAGAGTTCACAGTCTGTCCTTGTGCTCACTATGTATTTCTACTCCTCCTGGGAAGAAGATGGCCAAAGCTTCTGCTTTCCTTTAATAAATTCATTTCTCCATTATTACACATTATCATTCCCTGCTTGACACCTTCTTGGAGACTGATTGTTGGATGGGTTTTTCATTTGGCAAAAATTCAATGTGGCTTTGCGTGGGATGTCTAAGTGTCAAAAACAGCAGTGTTGATGTTCTGGTTTTGAGTGGGAAAATATATATAGAAATGCACACATTCCCTAGAAGAACAAAAGTAGGAGACTGAAATAGAGTATGCACAGGGTTAAAAGGGCTGACAGACGCTATCTGGTTTTGAATTCTGTGGCTGTCAGCCACTAACGACTGTAGTGTAAGCCAGAATATAAATCTCCTCAGGAAAAAGTTTGATCAGGCACTATGAAATGAGAGTCTGCTTCATTTTGTTCTAGGTATATCAGGGCAGACACAGGAGGTGCATTATGGGTCATTTGCAGTCAACAGTAACCTGCAGATAAACACATATGGACATTTCTGCAAATGTTCTGTCAACCTAAGTGCTGGGAAAAGAAAAGAAGTATTCTATTAAAATATACTTCCATCTCTAATTTACCCAAGACCCCAGGCTTCCTTAGCTTTGTTTTGCAAGGTCAAAATGAAGTTTAATGTTATATGTCATTCTAGGTCATCTGGAAACTGGTTCACTGGGGCCATCACAGAAGGCTTGGATGTGCCCAAGAAGGTAGCAAATCTACACGGAAGGGTATGCCTTGATGATCTTCACATCATCCACAGGGCGGTCCTGGGAGTTTGTTTCTACCATTCCCATTCGATTCACCATTCCTATACCCTGGCACACTCGGCCAAAAATAGTGTGTTTGCCATCGAGCCATTGGGTGGGAGCTAGGGTCACAAAGAACTGGCTGCCGTTGGTGTCTGGCCCTGCATTGGCCATTGCAAGAATTCCAGCTCCTGGTGGAAAAAAGGAAGAAAGGAAAGAGTATGAATAACCACCCCATCCACCCAGTCCAATGTAGAGCTGCTACCCCATCCTATGGATGAATTGATTCCAGGATTTTGTTGTCACCAACCACCCATTCTCAACCAACCTGCCCCTCAGGTCATCACTACACTGCCCTAATGGCCTAATCTTCCTTGCCTTTACTTACTCCCCAGCTTTAACCCCTGATGACCCTCCTGTTAACTGCTCAACCCTGTCCCGACTGCCCCCAAAACCCCAGTAAGATCTCCTATTTCTTTGAGGACACTTTTGATATCCTATAGTTTATGACATTCAACAAGGAGTTAAGAGTCTAGAATACTCAGATCAGCACTCTGAATCACTCAGAACTCTGTGAGAGGCGCCGCTTTCTCTAATCAGCTAGAGCTCTTTTGTGGCGCCACGGCTGGGCAGCTACCTGGCACCATGCCATGGTGTTGGGCATTCACCCTGACCCCCGGCCAAAAGAGTGAGCTTTTAAAATCCACTCCTTCTTACCCAGTCCAGCCAGATTATACACTTACCTGTGAATTTCAAGTCTGGATGAAGTTCATCTTCAAACTGTTTGCCATAGATAGATGCACCCCCTCGACCTGCCAGATTGGAAGATGAAAAATGAACCAGCCAGTTCCATATTCTACCTCACAGCAAGAATGATGGCCCAATGTTAAAATATTTTTCGGAGTTCAGTAAAGGAAAAGTCCCCCACTAGATATACTGCACTAACACAGCATATTCAAATCACCAGTTTCATTTAGGTAAGACTTTTTTCTTTTCCAAAATAACACAGAGTATTTTTTCCTTGTATTAAAATAATACATATTCATTGTCAAAAATGTAGAAAACAGAGAACATTATGAAAAGACTCCAGTAATCTAACCATCTACAGATAACCACCATTCACAATCTGATGCTGGGAAGTTTCTTTATTTAAGGCCAGGCACAGTGGCTCATGCCTGTAATTCTAGTGCTCTGGGAGGCTGAGGCAGGATTGCCTGAGCTCAGGAGTTCAAAACCAACCTAAGCAAGAGTGAGACTCCCATCTCTACTTCAAAAAAATAGAAAAACTAGCCAGATGTTGTGATGGGCACCTGTGGTCCCAGCAACTCAGGTGGCTAAGATAAGAGGATCACTTGAGCCCAGGAGTTCCTGAGAACTGTGATGCCACAGCACTCTAGCCTGGGGAAATAAAGTGAGTTTGCCCCTTTGTCTTAAGAAAAACAAAAAGTTTGGCTGGGCACCTGTAGTTCAGTAGTTAGGGCACTGGCCACATGCTCTGGGGCTGATGGGTTCAAACCCAGCCCAGGCCTGCCAAACAAAAAAAATAGCCTGTAGTGGCAGACACCTATAGTCCCAGCTACTAGGGAGGCTGAGGCAAGAGAATCACTTGAGCTGAAGAGTTTGAGGTTGCTGTGAGCTGTGATGCTACAGAACTCTAGCCTGGGGCAACAGAGTGCATTGTCCCTCCGTCTTAAGAAAAAAAATGTTTACTGATTTGGTTTCTTCTTACCTCTTCTCCATCATTCCCGAGAGGGACCCACTTCAGAACTGTCTTTGAAAGTGCTCTAAACTTTCTCTTTGTTCTTTTTTTTTTTTTTTTTTGAGACAGAGTCT